GTCTCTCTCGCTTGCTGGTCAAGTTTATGGTGGTGTTATCTCCGTGGGCGAAAGAGCTAACCAAGTTAAAGAACCTCAAATTCGAACTCACTTCGCATATCGGCTCTGTAAATAACTCTGCCGTAATCCGCAAGTCTTTCATCTTTTTTTATTTGGAAAAGAAGAAGAAAAAAAAACAAAAAAAAAAGAAAATTCAGTTCTTACCTTCCGAGTCGTCTCCTACATTCATATTTCTCCACAGTTCATCAATCTTCCACTCCGTTTCTTCTCTGTGGAGACTTTCACGCACGCGGACTGTCCCGAAAGATGGTGCCTTAGACTCCTCTTTAATTTTCTCTTTCGGGACTCTCCGAGTGCACCAAAGTCTCCACAGAGGAGAAACGGGGTGGAAGATTGATGAACTGTGAAGAGATATGAATGGGGGAGACAGACGAGTCGGAAGGGAAGCACTGAATTTTCTGTTTTTTCTTTGTTTCTTTTTTCTTGTTCTTTCGTGACACTGCATCATCAATTTTCAATATTTGTAATCTTGTATCTTCAAACCCCTAACCAGTGTATATGTATACATATCTATATATATACATATATATATATATGCAGTTTTGGACGGGATACAAATATGGGTTGCTCCAACTCGTCTGACCTGCGGGCTCTTCATGTGGGTTCATCCCTTATGAACTTGGGCTAATCACCATTTACTTTTGGAATCGAGCAGTACGTACACCGACATATGTGTGTGTGTATATATATATATATTATTTGTTATTTATAAGAAATTCAAAGAAAAGGGGAAAAGGGTCGAAAAAATAGTAGCAGTGAACTGAATCAAGGTCAGTAAACTTTATTTTTTTTTCAGTAATCCATAAATGTAAATCAGGAATATTACAGCAGGAGCAGTGGAAAAAAATTCCAGTCAAAATTATTTGAAGACATTTTCCACAACTTTTTATTCTATCATCTTTTCTTTTTCTTCCCTCTCAAGATACGATATTCGTGCTTGTTATTTTGCTCGATCAATTAATTCGCGTAGCCGAGTTTCGCTGCAAAATCAGAAACTAATTAATCAATTTTTGTGAATAATGGTAGAATATACATAGTAGATGTTATAATTACCGGCAATTTCTCTGGCGTCGCATTCAGAATCGCATTTCATCTCGCAATTGGTGTAACCAGTGCCGGCATGAAGACAATCCTTCTCGCAATGTTTGAAGCAATCCTTCCAGATGGCGCTGGCCTTTTCATCGGCGGCGACCGGGCTGAGGTGGACGGCGGCGACGACGACGACGCACATGAGAAACACTGCTACAAGCTTGTTGGCCATATTTTTTTTCCTTTAATTACTCTTGTTTCTACTTTGTGTTTTGGCTTTTTCTCAGTGTTTCTTCTACTTTTTGATCGATGAAGGAAAAAGCCAGAAGCTGCTTGGTGATTTATATGAGAACTCAAGCTTATTTTTGGCTTAGCTTTTTAAGCCGGAATTTCCTCTGGAACTCACACTGGTTCTCTCTCTTGCTGGATTTAATGGGTTTTACGAGAAATTAGGGTTTTTGTTTCAGTTAATTTTTCCGATTATCAAAATAAATTATATTTTAGTGGTAATGGAAATTTTTCGAACCTGAAAATTCTCAAATGATTTAATAATTAATATATATAATTTTTTTAAATAATTCATGCTGTAAATTTTAAATATTATATTAATATATATATATCTATGTATAAAAATTAAAAAAATTAAGTTTTTTTATTATTCATTCCTTCTTCTTCCTCCCATTTTATACCTTTTCCTTAATTTCTTTGAATCAGAACTAAATAAAGCAATATCCAAATGTGTTTGTATATAGATACACATTACTGTCAATTATATGCGTGTGTGTGTGTTTGTGTATAGAGACTATATAAGTAGTAGAAAAGGTGAAGGCAATGTGGGAAACAGAAGTAAACGGAGATTTTTGAATTATGTGGAGACTTAAGTGGAGTACAGCAGATATCATGAATGGATTTGTGGAGTATCAGTAGGATTTGAAGATGATGATGGTAACCGGTGCTAGCAGAAGAGGCATTAATGATAAGTGAAGGGAAGAAGTAGAAGAAGAAGAGGAGGATGGCGGGGGTTGCAGCACTGGTCGAATTCTAGGGTTCGTGGTGGTGGTGGGAGCTAAACCTTGTGAATGTGGTGGTAATGATGCCGGTGGCTCTGGCAAAATATGCTGAGACTGCGGTGCTGCGGATGGAGCTTCTGCTGCCGCTATTGCCTTGGAAGCTGCTAAAATTTCAAAGTTAGCAATAAGGTTAATGATTCTGTAAGTTTAATTTCTGGTTTGCTATTTACAGTACAGATGATATGAGGTTACCTTGGGGACTCGGAGAAGATGAATCAGTTGGTGGAAGGCTTGGCCCAAGCAATACAGGATTAGGACCTGTATGTCAACAAGCTTCATTTCAACATAGATGTTCCAATTTAAAGTTCAGGTAATTTTTTCCTTTTTCTTTTGAGATAAGGATAGGTGGTAGTGCTCGAAATCTAGGGTTCTAGTTTGATAAATTTGAGTAACCTAGAACAAGGTTCTAGGGATTGTTAGCAAAATGTCAAAACAATTGTGGTACCTGGTGCTGGTAGAGGAGTTGCAGAGGCTGCAAATCAAAATTGAATTCAGAAAACACCATTAATGGCTGTTTATTATAATTTTTTTATACAAGAAGAGAAAAATCAAGAGAGAAATGAACTAACTACCTTGGCACTGCAATGGCAGAGATCCCATATTACAAGCTTGGGGGAGAGAGAGAGCCAGGGTTCTATTAATGGGAAGCTGAAGAGGGACATTGGCAGTGATAATGAGACAAGTACAGTCCCTACCAGTTGTCAAGAGAGTGCTTAATGAGCTGCAACAGCTTGAAGATGGAGAAGAAGACCCATTGCTGCTACTCCCTGTTATAAAATTTAGACATGGAGTGACGCTAGAGATCATGGAGGGTGTGCATGATGTAGTGATCATCTGCCCATTCACTGAAATACCACTCAGTAAGATCCCGATCATAACTCCGAAAACCTTTAACATCTTCGTGGTTGATCTATGAACAATTAGACTATTGTGTTGCACAGATAAAATCAATATTGATATAACTTCTTCAGGTGATTTAAGGATTTACAGGCTTTGTAAAAAAATTGGTTGATTTGAAATGGGTTTTTGGAGTTCAACCACCTTCAACTAAATTTCATTAGTGAATAAACTTTTCCTTAATTTTCCTGATGTGTGATGATATAGCAGATCTGGGTAGGTGAATTTGGCATGATTAATTGCTGTATTTGGATTGTCATTTGTTAATAGACAGTTGATTTACAACATAAGTCTTGGGTCAATTGGGTGAATGTCCAAGTCGATAGTTTTGACTAGGTCGAGGATGTTTACAATGGATCAACTTGATTAGAGAATATATATTATAGTAATTACTGTCGTTTTCAATGACATTTCTACATTTCGTTAATTAGACGATATATATAACACATAAAAACGTAAAGTCTGATTATAATTTACAACTTCTTATAGAAGTAGCGACCATACGGTCAAAAAATGGTTAGTAATTATCGGTATGTTCATTAATGACAAGTGCTACTATTTTGAAAATGTTAAAAATTCTGATCTATGAGTAAAAGTAATTGATTGAAAGTTGAATAACATGACACTTTCATTATGTAAATCTTAGATGTGTTTAAAATGTATATACATACATTCACTCAGGTGTTATTGATGAATTACATGCATTTTAATTTATTCAAAAAATTATTCCCTTAAGCAAGAAGTTTGAAAAGAGAAGGATCTAGAAGTGGTTTAATTAGAAATCACAAGCCTCCTTGGTTTAGTAGAATTTGGTAATCAGAAACATACCAATACTTTTTGTCTTTTTCCACTCAAAACTTTGTATATATACACCCATTGTCTTTGGCTTTCTTCTCAATCCAACTCCAACCAAAATCCTTGACTCTAAACAATCAAGCTAGCTAAATTAAAGTTTTGACAAGCCACTTAAATGGCTTCAAGGGGATGTCAAATGGGTCTGGTGGCCATGGTGGTGCTTGTAGCCATGCTTTGTGGTAGAGCCATGGCTCAATCAGGTTGCACTTCTGTAATCACCAGCCTGGCTCCATGCCTCAACTACATCACAGGCAACTCATCCACCCCATCATCTTCTTGTTGCTCCCAGCTGGGCAATGTGGTTCAATCCTCACCACAATGCCTTTGCTCTCTGCTTAATGGAGGTGTCCCCCAGTTAGGCATCAGCATTAATCAAACTCTTGCTCTCTCGCTTCCTGGTGCCTGTAATGTGCAAACTCCGCCAATTAGCCAGTGTAACGGTATGTCTATTTTTCTTGCATATAAATATACTACACATTTTTTTCTGTCAGTTTAAACTTTTTGTGTGATTGACTGCAAAAACTCTTAGCTTAGTTCCAATCTTTAATTCACATGTTTAGCGTACGAGATACATTTTAACGTATAAATAATAAGATTATTTCATTCGAAAAAGACTAACTTGAATCTGATATTGTGGAAAGCAGCTGGAAATGGACCAACAACTACGGGAACTTCTCCGGTTGGTTCTCCAACTGGGTCTCCGGCAGATCCTTCTGATGACACACCCGATGCTGCAACTACTCCATCTGCCTCAGAAATCCCTTCAGGTATAATCATAATAATCAGACACACTGTTTGATTTTAAAGATCACTCGTTGAGCAATGGTCTTATTAAACTGCAGGAACAGGATCCAAGACTGTCCCATCCACAGAGGAAGTTCA